AGTCTGTGTGATCATAAACTGTGCCTACGTTAAAGAAAATTAAACATTTGCTAAGGGCAGCAAAACAAATTTGTTGTTATAGGGCAGCAGTTTTAACAATTTTATATAATAACCCTTATTAGTTATACAAAGATGATCTCAAATCATAAGAAAATTATATACCTATGGTATGATAGTACTTTACTTTACAGTATAAGTAGACTATATATGGACTTACAAGAAAAAAAAATAAAAATAAAGCAACAACATTTAAGTAATTTTTGTTCAAAAAAAACATTTAAGTAATTTGAAAAATAGAAATAATTGTTATTACTAAATAATTAGAGTAAAAATATAGAATTTTTGTCCTTTCTTTCACTTTGTGACTGATATCATATTGCCAAGTTCTGATAAAATTTTATTGTTCACTAAATTATGTCAAAAAATATTAAATAATATGTTTTTTTCTAAAAATATGTTTATTTTATCCATTTGTAAGTTTGGTAAACAATTGTATAAACATAAAAATAAAAAATGATATTTTAGAACTACATTAATTTTATTTTATTGTTTTACTATGTGTTATATGTATTTTTACAAAAAAAATATTATTGAATAAGGACATTTTTTAAAAAAATTCGCTTCTAAAAATCGTGAAGGTTGGCACGGCTCTGCCATTCGAACTTGCCTATTATTACTCGCAGATCTCTAAGTCGTGGATCTCTCTATTTCGGCAGATTCACGCCTATCTCTTCCTCACTCCATGCATGATTTTGTCTAGTTCAATCTATTGTCCCTGTTTTAAAATGGTTAAAACTAATGCTTTAAACCACATATTTTTAAAAATAATTCAAGGCTACATTCACAAAACTTGTTTATAGCTTATATGGTTAATTACAAATATTTTTTCCTTATATTCCAGGTTGGAAAGTTGTTCTACATATTATTATTTATTTTTTATTAGAAAAATTTCTTTTTTCTTATATTTTTTTTAACTGTCAGCACCACCAAATTAGAAAAAACTTTAATATTTTTTAATGCAAAAAATCCTCTTTATCAATGCCATTACCAAAGTGTTGAATTCTTTTTGTGGACATAGAATTTTATCATTAAATCATTCAAAAAAATTTCATTCACTTGCATCTACATCTGATTCATAAAGTTTAAGTTTTGATTTTGAAAGTTTATATTTTTTTTTAATTCTGTATTTTTTTTAGAACAGATGATTAGATCTCAAATCTTATTGACTAGTTGATAAATAATCAATAGTTATTTTTTATCAACTGAATTTTCATTAGAACAATAATAGAGCATAATATAGAGCGAAATACAAGGTAGGATATAAATAATCAATAGTTATAATAATACAGAAATGTTGAATTGAATTAAAACTAAAATGAAATCCAGAAGATCTATTTTTTATAATTAGAATATAATTACTATATAATATTTTATTAATTTAAGTATTTTTAAATTTTAACATTATTTTCTTATTTTTGGTTTTATTATAATATAAAAGTCACATTTGTTGAAAACTTTGAGCCTCTTGAAAGTTCGGGACGGCACTGTGTCTCTTGATGTTCATGTGTTTATATAGTTATGAATAATTTTAAGTACAGTTTATTTTTCAGTTTTTCCGATCCATTACAAAGTAATAAAACAGTCCTATAAACTAAATCATAACTTTGTAATCGTAACCATTAAACAAACAAAATTAGGGCTATGGCTTATAAGAAGGGTAAGTCGTAAGCATATCACAAGTTTATAATATTTAATTTTTCTTTGAACATTAGTTTAAAGAACGTAGTAATATTTTTTGGGTATGCTTTGTCGCTTTTCTTTTTGTTTTTCAGGATGAATTATGCCAATTAAATAGTAGTAGTAATTAAGATTCATTATCGAATAACAGAAAGTTAATTTAATTAAGTTGCAATCATTAAAGGAGTTGTTCATTCATTGAACTAAAATGGTGGGAATAGTGAACCTTTTTTGGTCATCTATCCTAGCTAACGTTGTAAACTAATAATGGATTCGTGAAAGTACTTTAATATTGTATAATACGGTACGTTCTCTTTTCTCACTTAATATAGTTTTTTTTTTATTTTTTGCAAATTCGCACTTAATATATAGTTTTTTTGTTAAAGGGCTTACTTAATATATAGTTAGACATTAGATTATTATTTTTTGAACAATAGACATTAGATTATTAAAGTACACGAGAACAAAATATATATTCAATTATGTTTATCAGGTAGGTCACCTTAAAAGAAAAATTTATATCAACATTCATATAAATTTTTGTAGGTTGCTTAAGACATTTATATAGAAGAGGTGGTATCTTTTGATTAGTTGCACCCACCATTTGTACTTTAAACTACGACGACGAATAATGAATAGAATAAAGCAATAAAAAATGGAGAGACTCAAATATATCTATGAAGAAAATAAAAGTTAGTAAAAGAATCTTAGATAGCTTTATTTGAATATACTTCTAAAACCATATATTCATCAATAAATAACCTAAATATATATTTACTCTTTAAAACATCCAATAATATTTCCGTGGATAAACAAGGATTATAGTCGTCACTACATAATTATGCAGTCACTCTACTATAGTCTCTTGTGGGTGGGTCATTTGCATTTATACGCTTAACTTTGTTGAAAGCAATTTAATATCTTTACAGTCTCTAATAAATATTCCCTCTGTTTCATAATAAATATCATTTGAATGCAATGTATCTGCAATGTATCTGGATATATTAAACTCAAAACACATCTAAATATATCCAGTTATAATATATATATATTTTCTTTAAATAACATTTATTATGAAACGGAGGAATATATTACAACAAACAATTACAAGAAGGAAAAATATAAAAATATATACTGTACAATAATGCTATATATTTTCCCTTGAAGTGGTGGTGGGGCGTATTATTGTGGGACATTGAGTGATAACAACACAGTGACCGTTTCATCTCACAAAAAGACAAGTACACTGACACCAAAAATCACATTAAAAAGTACACACTCTTACATAACAACTAGACAAAATGGAATAAATATATAAAGAGAAAATGAATTTAAAACAATAAAAGAAGAGTTCCTTACAAAGTTAAAGACGCATATGATATCTACATTTTGTTTTCTTTGTTTCATACGTTCTCATTAGATATATGATTTTTTCGATTGGGTTGTTTAAGTTTAAAACAAAAATTAGAAATGCTTTTTTTGTGTGTCTTTCTTAGCTTTTGCAGTAATTTTTCATCGAACTATGTGGAATATCATCAAAATAGTACTATAAGATAATGAGAATGTCATGATCATAAGTAGTTTATGCAATTAATGATTTACTACTAGTAAAAATAATAACAATAACTCTATCAAAATGTGTGTAGGTTTTGTAAGTTTGTAATAAGTTGTAACTGCTCTTTACTAAATATGTCTGATACTCTGTCTCTCACTCTCAGCCGTTCAATCTGACCACAGTGGGACCCATCATTTGTACTAAGTACGTCGCAGAATTTTACAAGTGGACAGTTTCTTGCTTTCGTTTATTCAGTTTATTCCATAAATTTAAACTCAAACGCTTATTAACGATAAATGAGTCGAAATAAAGTTCCCAGCTAGGGTTTTATTTTGTTATATTCAATGTAGTTTTGTTATTGATATACATATGGTTTCAGTGACTCACTCACGCAATTTTGTAGAATTTTAATTTTTGTGGTTTATGTAGTTGGATCATTTTCACTTGTTGTATGCGAATTTTGATGTAAGAAAATGTCTCGTGACCGAAGTTTTTTCTTTACCAAAAGTGTGCAAATTTTTCCCCAATTTGGCAAGTTGATAATTATTATCTTCCAGAAAGTTCTGTGTGAAGTACACGCGCCGGCGAAGAGCGCGTCCCGTGACTTACCTTAATTTCTTACAGCGAATTCAATTTTATGTCCCCAACAAATCTCTGTGTTGTATATCTTCAAACTGTTACGTGTGAGTTGTGTAGGGCTTTTGAATTGTGACTGGATCTCTTATAATATTCACATAATTCAGACAAATTTTTTTTTATCAAATTTAGTCTATTTTGGGATATTTTGATAAATTCCCGTTAAGTCCCCGGCGTTTTTATTGCGCTATGAAAGGTCCCTTTCTCCTTCATATCAAGGTAACATTAGAGATTCTTCTTTGATTTGACCAAAATACAAAATAGATGGTCGAAATTAAAATTCGATTTTATAATATGACCGAATATTAAAGACATTTATTGAACATCATATTCTTCCCGAAGTTTTTTTTATATATAGTACACATTCATCTCTCAATTAATTTATTACACTTGATCTCAGATAAATAACTATAAATTTAAATTCTCAAAGTTCATGAATACTACATATTTTTTTTAAATTTCATAACTTAAAACACAGTCTATTTCGATTTTATAAATAATTTAAATAATAAATTTAAAATATAAATTTTATCTAAATAATTTTTTTGTCACTAATAGCTAAAGTCCACAAAACTTCAATTAAAAAAAAATCGTTTTTAATCTATTTCACATAATCAGAAATAAACTAATTCAAATAATAAGATATTATCAATCTAATTAATTACAGAATGATATTAAATTAGAAAATCAAATTATGTATGAATGTCTAATATATTAAAAGAAAAGGTATAAAAAAAAGATCCACAATTTGAAAGATAATAATTTTTCTGATGAATCAATAGACTTTAAGAATTTTAGGGTTATAAAGTTCTATAATAAATGTAGGCGTGCCTGGTAAAAGAAATATTAAATACGGGTGCCATATTGAAAATAATTATTTTCTTTATTGTATCACGTTCTTTTGTGCTCTTCTCTTCACAGCTGCTATATATACTCCTCCATTTCATTCGATGTGAACCTTATAGCAAAATATCCAACATTTAACTCCTGAGTTAATAGTAATTAAATTTTAAGTAACTAAACTGAATTAATCTGCGATTAATTAAGAGATAAGAAGCCGTGACGGAGTTGCATGGCAAGAGGTCGAAACCCTACGACGATGAACCGGAGCGATCGATACCTAGGCAGCTACAGTTACGGGGACAGCCACGATGCTTCCGTCACCGACGAATTAGAGCTCGCCGAGGAAGACATATGGTCACCGGCCGTCATTCACGACACCATGACGGAAGATTCCTATGGCGCGTGGAATATACGCGCTACCTTGGGGGGAAACGGGCGCGTAGGAGGGCTGTCACTGGCTTTCGAGAGTTCCTCGGTTGCGCCGTCGTCATCACCGATGATCGTGCAGCAGATCCACGGAGGAGTAGGCGAAGGAGGAGAAACTCGGCGGAAGTTGGCGTCATCGGCGCCGGTAAACGTGCCGGACTGGAGTAAGATATACCGCGTCAACTCGGTTGAGTCAATACACGAGTTAGACAATGACAGCGAGGACGAGGAGGAATCGGAGATGATGCCGCCGCACGAGTACCTTGCGAAGAGTCAGGCACGACGGAGCAGGAAGACCGGAGGCGGAGGTAGCGGCGCGTCGGTGTTTGAAGGCGTCGGAAGGACTCTCAAAGGACGGGAACTAAGGCGCGTCCGCGACGCGATTTGGAGCCAAACAGGATTTTACGGCTAAGTAATTAATAAGCAAAAACATTTTAGATTTCCAATTAAAATGACTTGTTTTGGCAGTATAGATGTAATTTTGTCATTTTAAAAAAAAAATATTTTGCGATAATAAATTTTGGATTTAATACATTTCTATATAATTAGTGACGTATAAATATATTTACATATTTTACATGGAGAGAGTATTTTTGCTAAAACAAAAATAATACCACTCCGTTTTTTTTTAATGATACAAAAATGGTTTTATAAGGATAAATGTTTTGCAATTTCAATGCAAGTCTGTGTAGCATTTTCTAGTTTCTTCAACTAACTAGAGTTAAAAGAAATTAAATAATTATTTTAGAACTGTAGAAAATATATACTACTAGGTGTAAAAAACTTGTTTTTTTTAATATATGTGAAATTAGTGTAAAAACTTTCTTATGTGTAGAACTTTAAACATTTAACTTCATGAAAACAGAGTGAGTAGTACAAAACAACAATTAGTAACCGAGAGAGTAATACAACCAGTACTACCATTTGAATGTAATTAAGTAATAAGTAACTTTACTCCCCTCCCAATTTCAATTCATATGATCAAATGGTTTTAAATACTCCTATTTAAAACGGTTATCTTAGGTCAGGTTAACTTAATAAAAAAAACATTAATGATTGAGCTTAAATATTCTTTTTGAGAAAATATTAAGCCATTATTTATCTTTTAAGTTTAATTAATCCTAGTTAACTAATATCATCTGAAAGGGAAGTTAAGTATAATAACAAGAACCGATATGCCCTTGAAACATAATATAATATCCACAGGTAAACTGTCCAAAGAGTCCACTTCAAAGTGGGCACTCACGAGCAACAAGAAGACATATTATTTTAGTTTTATTTGTCCTTTTATCAGCAACAATCATGATGGTGAAGAAATGGAGTAGTATTCATATAGGCTCTTAAGAAAAGATAAATAAATCTGAATGAAACACAAATTAACTAATTTAATTTTTAGCTATTACTAAGCTGATCATTACTAAAATATTTAGGTTTTAATTAATCAGTAGGTATATTTAGCTAATATTGTAGAAGATTTTATAAATACCAAACAATCTAGTAAAAAAACATTGTTCTGAAAAACACAAACAAAGTTGCGGCATAATATAACTAGACATTTCTAGATATAAGATTTAATTATCATACATAGATATTATAAAATATTTGATCAAACATGAAGTGTTGATAATAGAAATAGTCACAAGATCTTTGTATTACTGTATCTGCTACTAAGATTTGAGTCTGAGTTTGAGACTAAAGTGAAAGGATGTATTCGTTTATGTGAGGATATCAATTAGCATTTGAGGTTTTCTGTATTTTTGTTTGTCTCGTATATCTGATGAAGTCCCCTTTGTTTAGAGAAATTCAATTTTTTTTCATTTTATTTTTAAATAACTCATTTATATAGATTTTAGTTTGTTTAAACAGTATGATCTCTTGAAGTGAAAATGATTTTGTGGTGCACGAACATTACAAAAGTATTTTTGAAAATTGACCGCTTGCAAAAGCTACTATATATAAATACATACCAAGAAATTCATAAAAGAAATATGGTCCTAAAACCTATATTCTGTAGATTACAAAAATATGCATGACAAAAATGTATTACAACTTTGTATGTAAAAATATTTTATGGTAGAAACTTAAAACGTTAAACGTATTTTCCTTTATGATCAATGTTGATTGAATAAGTTGTGTTTCTTTCATTTGTGCATATTTGACTAATTTTTCTTAATTGAGTAATATATTTAAACATTGTAGTGAGAATGTAGAGGCATATTTATTAATATAAATAATCAAAATACATGGTTTGATTAGGACAAGGCAACCAACATATTGGGAATATTCCAATTATCCATACAATAAAGAAAAAATGACCTAAAAACTCGATAGCCACTAAATTCTAATGAATCGTTTTAATGTTCCAATAACAAGATAAAAAAAGATTCTTGAATTTTTTTGTTAGGTAATTGGAGATTTTTTTATGAGTCCATATATATATGTAACTAACCCCCCCCACCCCCACATACACAAACCCACCCAACATTACTTTTGACTAAATGACTTACATGCATATGCAATGTTACGTAAAGTAGATATCTATGCTTTATACATAGTGTATAACAATAATTTGATGCCTTAAAAACCATATCATACGGTCACTTCTACAAAGTAGATTCGTCAATATTGTTATCATAAGTTCCAAGTGATTGATCGCTATAGGTGATTATGGTCTTCCTTTAAATCGTACTTCCATTCGTAATCTTTACACGGTCGAAACTATTCGTTAATAAATAATGTTATACATGAATACATAAATCACAGATTTATCAATGTTTATTCAAACTCGATAAATATGGAAGAGATCAGTGGATAAATATATAAAATGTTGGTCTTAGACCCTATAGTTCGATTCTTTCTCACAAAACCCCAACAAAACACGTATATGGACTACGAACTAAAACTCTTCGATGTTAAACCCCGCTTTATCATAAAAGTAAATATTGCAAGAGAATGGAGTCAGGTACAGTAGTGATCAAAGAGTGTGACATAAGTTTGGAGAGTGTTGCGTCAAAGGATAAAATTGAGGCAAATTTGTCAAAAAAATGTTTCGGGTCTCTTTGGTCCATTTGTGCCTTTGCCTTTTTCAAGAAAAGTCCCTTTGAAAATGAATTTTGAGAGCTCCCTTCATATGTGTCTTGTGGTCTCTTTACATCTTTCAAACGCTTGTCCCAAGCTCTATTCACCGTTCATTTCACTTTCTTTTCAATAATAGAAAACCTTTTAATTTTTTTTTTGCCGACATATTTCTATTTACATATATAATGTTTAGAAAAGATATTTGATCAGAGATCAATTACAACGTACATGGTACAGAAAAAAACCCATAAATATTTTGATGAAACTTTTTTCTTGACAAGTGTTACAACTAAAAAGGTACCATGTTGTGAGGCAGTTTCCAGCGACAGTCATACACTAATTTTTTTAAAAACAAAAATTTCGTTAATGAAAGTTTAAAATTTGAATTGATTTTGTAAATTTTTAATAGCATGTATTTGAGAAATAGTTTTATACTTTTTTAAGTTTCAGCTTTATTCACGAAGTAGATATTTTCCCAACGTGAAACTACTGAAAGTTTAGCAATAATGGAATTAGGTATATTGGAATTGGCTTGACTCACATTACATGCATAGGTTAACAAACGTTATTTTTCGTTGTTATATTCAGATATTATAGTGTTTGATATGATTCTTCATACTAAACAATTTACATGTTCCTTGATGACTTGATGCTTTACAGGTATGGATTCTTGAGGAACTTAATTTACTTTTCAAATTTCAATGGTTTGAATAATCAGAGAATATCTATTGTTTATCTACTTATAGGTTAAATATATTCTCAACATACATACATATCTATATCAAACTGCACCTTCGAATTCGAAAGTATGAATTATTGTATTCCCTAGAATATCTTTACAAAGAGCCAATGGTGTTCAAATTTCAATAATCATATATTGTCACCTAAAGTATCAACAAAGCTTATGCTATATATATTCTATATCATTTTGGTTTTTGTAAATAGAATTTCTATTTTTTTTAAACAGCACTGTGTTCTAATTAGTTTAGATTTATATTAAAATTAAATTGATCAAATACACTATATAACTGCCGGTTTAGCTTTCATGAGAAAGCAAATAAGATCTTAGAGAAAATGGTTGTAAGATGTGTTGTTTAACACGATTGCTTCTTTTTTTTGTTTGGTTCTGTTTGTATTTGTGTTTGCTTTTCTACGTTCAAATATTTTAATCATCATATGCAAACGTAAACGGAAAGAAACTTAAGCTCTTATTAGTAACACAATAAAACCATGAAATAGTAAAAGAAATTAAGTTATGGAATGATTTTTTTGTGGAATTTTTTTTGATGTGATTGGATAAGTAGAATGGCGGAATGGCATAATACAAATATTAAAATTAAAATTTTATTTACAACATTTTTTTTATATTATTTATTATCATAACAATTAATATATTATTTATTATAAGAAAATGTAATAATTTGATATAATTTTAAAAATATTTATTTTTATGTGATTTTTTAATATAAAATACTTTAAAAAGTTAAAATATAATTTAAAATATTATAAATTTCAAACCATAGATATAATCTGATAATTAGAATCATATTTTTTTCCCATTCCGCTATTCTACAAAGTTTACTAATCAGAACCTTAAATGTTGCTTATTGTAGATTGAAAGAGCTAAGTCACTAGACTTTTGATACAAACATATGGTTCACTAATCCTCTCTTTGTAGAAGAAGGTACCAAAACTCAAAAGTTTTAAACTTAACTCTAAACATCTAGAATTACTTTTGTTTGGGGATAAATAACTAGTTTTATTTACTAGTCACTTTTCCCTCTAAATAAATTCATCATATATTATATATAACATGCCAGCCACTTAGAAATCCCATTAAATAATTAGTTTTGTTTAGGCATTTGAGTACATGATATCATCTGACCTCTTTGTTTTCTTGGTGTCAGTGGGAATTTTCAAAGATACCCAAATTAAATAGCTGTACCCAAATTTTGTTAAATAATAAGAACAGCATTACCCTCAAAAATTAAATTTTGAACAATGTAAATTATAATAAAACGATGCAATTAAGTTGTTGGCGATTATATTTGACTTTTTTTAAAGTACCAACTAAAACAATATACTATCTTAGACTAGAACAAATTCACTAACGTGCTTAGATGTCGTTATGAAATCGAAAAGCACCTTAAACACATCCAATAGTAAGTCTTCCAAGGCAATGTTCTAAAATATCTTTCTTCAATACACAAAAATGGGATGTCTCTGCATCAATCTGAAGAAGAAGTCCAAGAAACCGAAACCAGACAACAATGGCGAGCAAACAACAGAGTTACATGACAGGGAAACTGTGCAAAAACAACAACCTCGTCAGAGACAAACAGCTGCAAGAGCAAATTTTCAGATCGTGGTGCAGCCTCAAAAACTTCCACTTCCAATGCCTCAGCCTCAAGAACAGCAAAAGCTAATGAATCATCCAAAACAGAGCAACCTTCAACAACCAGAACCAATCTTAGGGAAACCATTTGAAGACATTAAGGAGAAGTATAGTCTTGGTCAAGAATTGGGTCGTGGCCAATTCGGTATAACGTATTTGTGTACAGACATATCATCAGGCAAGAAATTTGCTTGTAAATCCATCTTAAAGAGAAAACTCATCAGAACTCAGGCAAGAATCTAATAAACACCCAAACTTTTGTTGATTCATTTGAAATTTGAATCTTTGATTTGATGAAATTTTATGAGGATTGAATGTGACAGGACAGAGACGATGTAAGGAGGGAGATACAGATAATGCAATACTTGTCAGGACAACCAAACATTGTGGAGATCAAAGGAGCTTATGAAGACAGACAAAGTGTTCATCTTGTAATGGAGCTTTGCGAAGGCGGTGAGCTCTTTGATAAGATAACCAAAAGAGGGCATTACTCGGAGAAAGCAGCCGCAGAGATCATTAGATGTGTGGTTAAGGTTGTACAAATTTGTCATTTCATGGGTGTGATTCATCGCGACCTTAAACCCGAAAACTTCTTGTTATCCGGTAAAGATGAAGCTTCTGCAATGCTGAAGGCCACTGATTTTGGTGTTTCAGTTTTCATCGAAGAAGGTACATAACCAAAATCAGAAATGTTCTTATCGTAAATGGATACAATGGAGTTCTTGCAACCCAAGAAACTGTGTTTATACTTTCTTGCAACCTAAGAAACTGTGTTTAAACTTTCTTGCGACCTAAGAAACTGTCTTTTGACATTCTTGCAATCCAAAAACCGTTGTACTGTCTCTCTTTTGGCCGCTTTCTTCAACAGCTGTCTGTTGTGGTTTAGAATGAATTTAAATCAGAAATCTTGAAAAAGATTCCTCGAAAAATAATCTCGAATCGCTTATTAAACCGATCTGTTTTCTTTTAGGCAAAGTGTACGAAGACATTGTAGGAAGTGCATACTACGTTGCACCGGAGGTTCTGAAGAGGAATTACGGCAAAGCTATAGATATTTGGAGCGCCGGAGTTATTCTCTACATTCTTCTTTGCGGCATTCCTCCGTTTTGGGCTGGTAATCTTAAACCGGACCACTTGTTTTGATTTTGTAATTTCTTCGGTTTACTAAATTTTGCATTTTTGGTTATTGCGTGTAGAGACTGATAAAGGAATATTTGAGGAGATTTTGAGAGGTGAGATTGATTTTGAGTCGGAACCGTGGCCGTCAATATCAGATAGTGCTAAAGATTTGGTGAGGAACATGTTAAAGAGTGATCCAAAGAAACGGTTTACTGCAGCACAAGTCCTAGGTAAAGGTTACTAGTAGAGTTGGTTTGTTTTGGTTTAATGTTTTTGAATCAAGGATATTGAACCGGTTTTTGGTTACTCTAGAGCATCCGTGGATACGAGAAGATGGAGAAGCTTCCGATAAGCCAATTGATAGCGCAGTTTTGTCGCGGATGAAGCAACTCCGAGCGATGAACAAGCTTAAGAAGCTTGCACTTAAAGTAAGTATCCTCGAGGATTCGGTTTAGTGGTGAAATTAGATCGGGTTGTCTTATTGTTTTAATTTGGGTTGGTTCGGTTTAAGTTTATCGCGCAAAATCTGAAAGAAGAGGAACTAAAGGGTCTCAAGACGATGTTCGCTAACATGGATACCGATAAGAGCGGTACAATCACCTACCAGGAATTGAAAACCGGACTGGAAAAACTCGGTTCGAGATTAACCGAAACCGAAGTTAAGCAGCTCCTAGAAGATGTAAGGCTGTGTTATCCTCTCTTTTTCCTTGAATTAAACCGGTTTTGATTACATTGGTTAATGTTTTTGGTTTAGGCTGATGTCGATGGGAATGGTACGATTGATTACATTGAGTTCATTTCTGCTACAATGAACCGGTACAGAGTCGAGAGAGAAGAGAATTTGTTCAAAGCTTTTCAACATTTCGATAAAGATAATAGCGGGTATATTAAAAAATCAATTTATACCGAATCAAAAACCAGACTTAAACCGGATTAATAAATAATTACATGTGTTTGTAGGTCTATTACGAGACAAGAATTAGAAACAGCCATGAAAGAGTATAATATGGGAGACGATGCCATGATCAAGGAGATTATTTCAGAAGTTGATGCTGATAAGGTAAGTCGTATATTATCATTAAAAATAGTAAATACCAACTTAGTTTGATAGTTTGTTTTTTTTTTTTAAATCAAATTTTTTTTTTTGAAAAGGATGGAAGTATAAACTATCAAGAGTTTTGCAATATGATGAAGAGCTGCTCACAATCACATAAATCGAAATTGGTTCAATCAAATTGAGTACCAAAAGACTCTGTTTCACTTGTACTTATTTATCTTTAAATTTATGGGTACTTCGTACATAAATTTCCAATGTAATTTGGATAATAATCTGTCTATAATTAATATTCTGCACAATCCTATTTTTTAATATTTTGTTTTATTGATTGTTGTTTGAAAATGATTACAATATAGAAATAATTCAATAAATAAAATATAAAAATAAACCAACAATTTCTTTTGACAATTTAACGAATACGAATTTGATATATTAGTGATACCAAAACGAATTTGTTTTCAGTTTTGAAAGTATCGATATAAAACATTTTCATACTATAATAACAAACAGGTTTCTTATATTTTTAAGGATACAATAATTCTCAGTTTGTCAAAATTAATATATATTCTCTGTTATTAAAAACTTGAAACATAAACTAACAAGATTGCAGTAAGTTGCGGAAAAATTCATGTTATTTGCAGTAAGTTGAGTGATACAGTATTTGTTTTTGTGAAATTAGTTCTGTTTTATCTTTTTCATTACCGACTGTTGAGATTTGATTTGGTTCGAATGTCATCATCATATATCGTATTGTAGTTTCACTAATATTAGTAACAAGCATAGCTGTAGTCTGCAGAACAATGTTCGATCAATTTTTATTTTAGGAGTGGAAAACTGGTTACAAATAGAAGTGATTCAATGGACGAAAGATCTTTTTTTTTGGAATTGTCATGTAATGGGCCTAAATTCGTACCAAAAAGGTATTAAATATGGGCTAACTTTGAGCTGGGCCGAAGCCTATCACATAACTATATTTCAATGGACGAAAATTCGCATTAGTTATATTTATCCCACATCGTTAAAACAGAAGCTGCTCTCTCTCAAAGTTAGCATATAAAAAAGAAAGCTCGGCTCAACTCTCAATTCATACCTTTCTCGGCCTTTTGGCTAAGATCAAGTGTAGTATCTGTTCTTATCAGTTTAATATCTGATATGTGGGCCATCGGCTCACACGATATTAACTCTATTTTTTAAGAGGAAAAGCCCATTAAGATAGCTTGCTGTCTGGGCTTTTATGAGTCGCTCATGTGTTGCACTATTGCACGGGCCTGGCTCACCCCACCAAATAAAGTTCAATTTTTTGTTATTCTAGAGAAATTGTTTAGTCTAGTTTGTAATTATTAACTTGTAGTGACAAACAAAGAGTTTCAGGCTTGGGTATTGCTTAACGGCCACATAGTTTAGTGTTTTTGTGAGTTTTTGTCCCACGATGAGGTTGTGTCCTCATGGCTCTTGGGCTTTTGGTTTCGGTCCAAGATAGTCTGATGCCAAATGTCGACCAGCCCATTTGTCGGAGTTGGGAATTGGAACGGAACTTCTCCCAAAGTTAATTCTAAAATTTTTATCAGAAGAGAATAAAATCTATTACTAAATACCTCTAAGGGTGTTCACATGTGATTTAAAGATTCAATTCTATTGGTACATATCATCATTACTTTTAATTAATTATATACTAACTATTAAAATTAATTAATTCGTTTTAATTGTTATAAGGAAAATTTCTAAATTTTAATTAATTTTGTTTTTGTTATTATTAGAAAAGTTTCTAAATTTTAATTTAGTTATTAATAAAAAAAGAGTTTTGAAAATAGATCTTATTTTTTTATTAACAATAAAAAGGTAAATTAACATATAAATTAATTATGAAAGAAAAATCATATATATTGAACAAAATTATTAAAAACTGTATTTAAGACCATAATTAAATTATTTTAAAATTTAATCACTTCAAACAATTAAAATCTGAACTGCTAACTTAAAATATATTAGTTGTGGTCCATGTTGATGTCTTAGGCTAATGAGAGTGTCCACATATGACTTATACACTCAATCTGATTAGTCTATAACATGGTTTTTCATTAAACATAAAAAATAAAAAATTATTAATAATTTAAATAAATTAAAACATACAAAAATATAAAATTATCACAATAGAATAGAAGATTGAGATGATTTTTTTAACTAAATAAAATAAATTTATGTCAAAAGTCTAAATCTATTGTGAAAATAAAATGGAAACTCATTGTCACAAAAATTAAACTAACAAAAACAAATATGTAAATCAATAACGAAAAAGTTAAATTAAAAAAAAATTGCATATATATTTTAAATGATCAATTTATTTAGAAAAAAAATATTTAGATTAAATTTTCATATAACCATATAAATTTTTTATTTAAAAATATCAATACTACCAAAAACATTCATCTTAAATAATCAAAAAAAGAAAGTCATCTAAAACTTATAATTTTTGGGGAAATATTTTAAAAATTAACACAAAAATCTTAACAAATCAAAAATGATATTTTATGCTAATTACTGAAGAAAGCAATATAATAAATGTCTAACTAACAAAAACCAAAATATAAATTATTTCTTACAACATGTCAATACAATTAAAATGAAAGTCCATATTGAGAAAGTTAAATTAACTAAAAAACTAAAATGAAAATTAAGTTTTACAAAATATTTTTTTTTTAAAAAAAACACTTAACAATATATTGACTTGATATCTGACTAACTACTTAAAAAATTCATATAAAACTATTTAACTAACAAAAAAATTATGTCTTCAAAATATCAATATTTTAAAAACAATGGTGTGTTAAAATAAAATAAAAATCAAATATCAAGAGAGGTAAATTATCAAAGGAAAAAGTCGTATAAAGTAAAATTAGCTTGATATTTAAGCTAACTACCAAACAAATATTAACTAAAAAAAAGTAAATGATGGTATAAGCTTTTGAGAGAAATTCACTTAAAATTTAGAATAACCAGTTATAGCATGTCAAAATTGCATTTTGATTAATTTAAAAAGTGAATTTAACAAAGAAAAATCATTTATGTAAAAGATATTAGATAACTATATATGCTACCTATTTGAAAAATCAATAACAAAAGAGATTCATTATAATATATATCTATATATGTTTTAAGTATATCAAACCTGTAGAAAAATAGATAATTAAAATAAAATATAAAATTACCATTGAAGATATTTAAAATAACTAAAAACAAGATCTAAGAAGAAAATTAGTTTGAAATATAGTTCCAAAAATATTCATGATTTCTAAAATATTGGTATCGACTATGAATATTCATATAAAGTTTTAATAGGTTATACAAGTTTCTAAATCAAACATATTATTTAAATTTACAAAGATTAATACATTGGTTGCGTCTGATTGAAAAATTAACAAAGTAAAATATTACACAAGTAACTTTACATTCCAAATATAATAAGTAATAAAGTCTGATTTGTATACATATTTACTACTTATAACTTAGTCAACATGAACAACACATCAGCAACATCCTCTAAAATGTTATTTAAATAATATAATATGACAAAATTATGAATCAAATTCAATTGGGAATATATGAAAATAAAATATTCAAATCAAAACATGAATAAACATACAAAAGTTAAAAAAACAGTGATAATGTGAAGTTTCAACATCCTCTTACATGTTTAAAAACAAATATTAGCAAATAGTTGACTGCAAATAAAACAGATCTTATAAATTGAATCGAGATATAACATATAATTCGTAGAAGATCTGGTGGAAAAGCAAAAAGCAGCTTTACACGATTAGTGTAGCTTACTAACAAAAATAAATCTGAATCAACATATATCATATATTATATATGTATGTGTACATAATATTAGTGAGACATTTAGTAAAGAAACTAAATATTTAAACATATAAACCTTTAAAAAAAAGAACCATCAAAATCCTAAGGATACAAAACAAAACACCAAAAATTTAGCAAGGAAATCATTTTCTAAATCAAACATATGCACATGGAAGTTGGATAATTCGTTAGGTGTCATTACTATGATTTTACTTAATAAGATTTATAATTTTATAAACAAAAATAGGAAATACTACAAATTATGTTTTAATTTTTTTATATAAAAAAAAATTTCTAAAAATATATTATAGTTTTGATAATTTAAAATATATTAGCCAAAAAATTAAACTAAATTGTTAATACAGACTCACGCGTAGCGCGAGTTAAAAGCCTAGTGTATAAAAAAAAAGTAACCATAATCAATTATCAATTTTAAAAAATCTTCAACAACTCGATTTAACAATTAAAACAATGAAAACTGAATAAAATATAACATAAAACTCTTGAAAGACATGATGGAGAAGAAAAAAATGGTTTTGCATGATCATTACAACTTCCTAACAAAATTAAATGTGAATCAACATGAATCATTGAATATATATACAATGGTACACAATATCAATAAGACTTTCAATAAAAAATTAAATATTTGAACACATAAACCTTCAAGAAAAAAAGAATTACAGGAATTCTATGGAAAACAGAAAAAAAAAATCTTAGCAAGATTATATATTTCTCTAAATCAAATGTATATGTACGTCAAAGTTGGATAATTCAATATGTGTCATTGTTATTATTTTATCTAATAATTTTTAAAAATTTATAAATAAAAATAGAATAAATTACACATTATATCATAAATTATCTTATATAAATGATTTTTTTATAAATATATATAACTTTTAATCATTTTAAAGATAGTAGCTAAAAAAATAAATCAAAATATTAATACAGACATGCGCATAACGCGAGTTATATACCTAGTTATCTAAAAAAATTCAGTGTTTTGTGAAATCTTCCAAATTAGATGAAACATCTCTTCTTTTAGTTTGAAAGTAATTTTAACTATCAACATTTTATAAATATATTATATTAATTAAAATTTTCATCTTTTTTTTTTTAAATATAAATTATCTATTCTACTGTAGTCTCTATATCCAAAATAAACACATTTTCACTGAACCAAAATTATTATTAACATAAGAAAATTTGGCTTTAATATATTTTGTATCGAAATAACCAAAATTTAGTGTAATCAAAGCAAGATTTACAAAATTTAAGATATTAAGTTTATCGCGCAAAATCTCAAAGAAGAGGAACTAAATGATCTTAAGACGATGTTCCTGAAACATGAATACCGATAAGAGCGGTACAATCACCTACCAGGAATTGAAAATCGGAAAAATTCAGTTCGAAATTAAGCAGCTCCTAGAAGATCTAACTATGTAAGGGTCGAGAGAGAAGAAAATTTGTTCACAGCTTTTTAACATTTCGATAAAGATAACAGCGGGTATATTCGAAAACCGATTTGTACCGAATCAAAAACCAGACTTAAACCGGATTAATAACCAATTACATGTGTTTGTAGGTCTATTACGAGACAAGAATTAGAAACTGCCATGAAAGAGTGAGACGATGCCCATGATCAAGGAGATTGTTTCAGAAGTTGATGCTGATCAGGTAAGTTTTATATTATCATTAAAAATAGTAAATACCAACTTAGTTTGATAGTTTAATTTTTTAAAATCAATTTTTTTTTTTTTTTGAAAAGGATGAAGAGCTGCTCCCAATCACACAAGTCGAAATTGGTTCAATCAAATTGAGTACCAAAAGATTCTGTTTTACTTGTACTTATTTATCTTTAAATCTATGGGTATACTTCGTACATAAATTTTCAATGTGATTTGGATAATAATCTGTCTATAATTAATATTCTGTATAATCTTATTTTTTAATATTTTGTTTTATTGATTTTTGTTTAAAATGATTATGGAAATGATTATGGACAGATTTCTTATACATTTAAGGATACAACAATTCTCAGTTTGTCAAAATTAATATATATTCTCTGTTATTAAAAACTTGAAACATACACTAACAAAGTTGCAGCAAGTTGCGGAAAAATTCATGTTATTTTTTGTTTCCAGTGATACGGTATTTGTTTTTCTAACGCATGAGCTTACTTGTTAAATTCAGTCATATACGAAAACAAAATAAATCTCTTAATTTACGATGATACCAGTTCTATTTCTGCAATTTATAGTTTTAGACCTAAAATTATGTCATTTATCTAACTAGCCCCGTCAAATCACAAAACCCTCTTTTTTTCTAATTAACCTCACCGGAACACTCGAAGACTCTTCGTCTGCACATAGTAAATGTGGAGAAATTTAGGGGTTTAATCAGATAGATCGCCGGAATCGTTTCCGCGCCTGATTTTCCCTTCTCTTCTTCTCCACTTAAAGCTCTGTAATCTTAATTTTTCCATTGCCTTTGTAATGCATTCTCTGATACTCCACGGAAGAAGGTCTCTCGAGCTGCAGAAATGGCGTAACTTTAGAGTTTCAGCTAAGCTTTTGCAAATTGCATCTTCTTATTCCAATTCCTTCTCCTCCGTTAGCTCTGTTCATGTAAACCTTCAAGATGATCGAAAAGGGAAGACCTTTACAGTCTCTTACCTCGTTGATTCACTGGGTTTCACTAGAAAGCTCGCCGAATCAATCTCAAGGAAAGTTATTTCAGAGGGAAAGGGAAACCCAGATTCTGTTTTGAGTCTTCTTAAGAGCTATAAGTTCACAGAGTCTCAGATCTCCAGCATCGTTAGGATTTACCCACGGCTGCTTATAGAAGATGCTGAGAAATCTCTTGCTCCCAAGCTTCAGTTTTTGCAAGCCAGAGGAGCTTCGACCTCTGAGCTCACTGAGATTCTTTCGAAAGTTCCTAAGATCTTGGGGAGGAAAGGGGAGAAATCTATCAGCAGACTCTACGATTTCGTCAAAGAGATTGTAGAAACCAAGTTCGAGAAGTCGTCTTCTTCGCCACAGGTCAATAACGAGCTCAGGAATGTATCGGTTTTGAGAGAATTGGGCATGCCTCCGAGGCTGTTGTTCTCCTTGCTCTCCGGTCACAGTGTCTGCTGGCGAAAAGAAAAGTTTGAGGAATCACTCAAGAAGGTCGTTGAGATGGGCTTTGATCCCAACTCCTCAAAGTTTATCGAAGCTCTATACGCTGTTTACCAGTTGAGTGACAAAACCATAGAAGAGAAGGTCAACGTCTATCAAAGCTTAGGCTTCACCGTGGGAGACGTGTGGGAGATTTTCAAAAAGTATCCAACCATTCTTGTAATCTCGGAGAAGAAGATACTCAACTCCATGGAAACGTTCCTTGGCCTAGGATTCACCAGAGATGAGTTTGCGACGATGGTCAAGTGCTTTCCTCAGTGCGTTGCGCATTCTGCAGAGTTGGTGAAGATGAAGATTGAGTTTGTGGTGGATCAGATGAACTGGCCAGTAAAGTCTGTGGCTTTGTTCCCTCAGGTGCTTGGATACAGCATGGAGAAGAGGATTGTGCCAAGGTGTAACGTTATCAAAGCTCTCATGAACAAAAGGTTGCTCAAAAGTGAACTCCCTGGGATCTCGTATGTGTTGGCGATTACAGATCAAGTGTTTTTAGGACGGTATGTGAAGAAGCATCATGACAAGGAGCTTGTGGCTGAGTTGATGGCTATCTTCTTCACCAGAGATCGTGTTTCATAGTTTAAAAGGCTTGTTTTTTCTGGAACCCAATTTATACTTTTGCAATCTCAATTCAAATAGTAGTTTTAAATTTGTTCATAAGAGTCCTTGAACAGTTTAGTGTTAGTAGCCTCGTAACGTGGAGATACTGATGATCAGTGCTAAATGTTCTTTTGAGGGATTCTTGATTCTTCAGTAAAAAAACTGCATTTGCAGCCAAGAAGTAGTGTTTTAGTTCTTACATATGTTCAAGTTACACTAACAGGTGAGGCAGTCTTAAGCAACATACATTCTTTGATTCTGTTTCTCTTTCTGTTCCATTGGCATATACTTGAAGGATAAGCTCTCTTCTATTTGGCAGCTATGCAAATGAGCTCACGTGCAGATACAGAGATCAATACTTATACTGTTTTTTTTGTTTTTTCCTCACTCTCTTTTTGTTATCCTTGTGATTTACAAGATGTTTTGTTGATCTTTGGATCATCTTTAGATTGAGAATCATAAGTTCAAAAGCCGATTTTACTTCAATAAAAAAATTTACACTGGTGCTCTATGTTGCCTTTTTGGGTACAGCTTGTAAGAACATGATCTAAGTTTCAATTTCGATAGTATTGCACATTACTAAGACTCTTATGTGTGAACCCTCTCTGTACAGTTTCTCATACTCTGTATAAACGACACCGTATTATCCCTTAACAATTTCTTTATAAACGACACCGTATTATCCCTTCACTTCAAAAATACATATTTTACCCAAACGTGCAGACTGCAAAAACCTCCACGGATCTCTTTTGTCTACAAAAATGGCAGCCGAAGTCAGAAGAATCTTCGTCCCCACCATCTTCATCTCCATCTCCATCACTCCTTCGTTCCCTTTCCAATGATATCTCATTCGCATCTTCTCTCTCAATGCTCTTTCTTCTTCCCAAATCTCCTAACCAAATCTTCTCTCCCCTCTCCTTCCCTCTCCTTTCCCTCTCTCTCCTCTTCTTCCATCTCCATGCTCTCTTCTCTCTCTCCCCGCCCACCTAATCCCACCACCACTTGTCCCGTCTCCGTCTCCGTCTCCGTCTCCGGCGACACTCTTCTCAATTCCGATCTAAATGATCCAATCCCCCCTCTCCGAATCGCCATTCTCGGGTTTGGTAACTACGGTCAATTCCTCGCCGAAACCCTAGTTTCTCAAGGCCACATTCTCTTCGCCCATTCCCGATCCGATCACTCCGCCGAAGCTCGCCGTCTCGGAGTCTCATTTCACACGGATCTTCACGATCTCTGCGAGCGTCACCCCGACGTCGTCCTCCTCTGCACTTCAATCCTCTCCACCGAGAATGTCCTCGAAACGTTGCCGTTTCAGAGACTCCGTCGGAACACACTCTTCGTCGATGTTCTCTCCGTCAAGGAGTTCGCCAAAACCCTCCTCCTCCAATACTTACCCGAAGACTTCGATATCCTCTGTACGCACCCGATGTTCGGTCCACAGAGCGTGAGTTCGAACCATGGATGGCGAGGTTTACGATTCGTCTACGATAAGGTCAGGATCGGAGAAGAAAGGTCGAGACTTTCGAGGTGTGAGAGTTTCCTCGGGATCTTTGATCGTGAAGGGTGCGAGATGGTGGAGATGAGCTGTGCTGATCATGATAGGTACGCTGCTGGGTCGCAGTTCATAACGCATACGGTGGGTAGGGTTTTGGAGATGCTGAAACTGCGATCTACGCCGATTAACACCAAAGGCTACGAGGCGTTGCTTGATTTGGCTGAGAACACTCGTGGGGATAGCTTCGATCTGTACTATGGGCTGTTTGTGTATAACAAGAACTCGCTGGAGATGCTAGAGAGGATGGATTTGGCTTTCGAGGCGTTGCGTAAGGAGCTTTTTGGTCGACTTCATGGTGTTGTGAGGAAGCAGCTGTTCGAAGGTGAAGCAAAGAAAGTTCAGAGTGGTTACCGAAATGATGATTCTTTGGATGTGATTAGGTACACTGCTAATTGCATTGTTGTGTTTCAAAGATGGACTTTTAAGATGCATTCAAATGTTGTTTTATCAACTTGTGAATTGTGTGCAGGTCTAAAGATGTTGCTTTGAAGAAGTATGAATACGATGCTCAAGTCTCTGGCATTGTCGATGGCAGTTCAAGGCTCAAGATTGGTATCGTCGGGTTTGGAAACTTTGGACAGTTTCTAGCGAAAACGATGGTCAGGCAAGGCCACACGGTGTTGGCCTATTCGAGAACTGACTACACCGATGAAGCTGCGAAGCTTGGTGTCACGTATCTATCAGACCTTGATGATCTCTTTGAAGAGCACCCTGAAGTTGTTCTTCTCTGTACATCGATCCTCTCGACTGAAAAAGTTCTCAAGTCACTCCCGTTTCAAAGACTCAAGAGAAGCACGCTTTTCGTGGATGTGCTTTCTGTGAAGGAGTTCCCGAGGAACTCTTTTCTTCAAGCTCTCCCACAAGATTTTGATATTCTGTGCACACATCCCATGTTTGGACCAGAGAGTGGTAAAAATGGATGGACCGGTCTTTCCTTTGTGTTTGATAAGGTTAGGATCGGAATGGACGATAGAAGAATGTCTAGGTGTGACAGTTTTCTCGATATTTTCGCCCGTGAAGGATGTTCTATGGTGGAGATGTCGTGTGCTGAACATGATCGGCATGCTGCTGGATCGCAGTTTATCACACATACAGTGGGGAGGGTTCTGGAGAAGCTGAGCTTGGAATCTACTCCTGTTGACACCAAAGGTTATGAGACGTTGCTGAAACTGGTGGAGAATACTGCTGGTGACAGTTTTGATCTTTACTACGGACTGTTTTTATACAATCCTAATGCGATGGAACAGCTTGAGAGGTTTGGTTTAGCGTACGAATCATTGAAGAAGCAGCTCTTTGGACGGCTACACCGTCTTTTGCACAAGCAGCTGTTTGGGAATGATAAAGAGACTCAAATCATGTTGGAGACAACTGGTTTGTCAACATTCAGATGAGCTTGGAGAAGAGGATTGTGCTGGTGGACCTCGCGGTTGTGTGCACAACAAATAGCAAAGGAGTAAATGAATCTTATCCAGACACAAAAGTGAGTGTTTTATAAAACACACAGCGACATGCAAGCACGTTGTGTCATAAACTCATTTTGACCTTTTGTCAGTTTCATGTCCAGACATGAAGCCACTCCCAAATCACTTACTCAACGCCCTTTTTTACAAGAAAAGCTGCAAACTCTCTATTTTCTTCAATTCCAATCACAAATCTGATCCCAAACTACCACTAAAAAAATGCCTTACGCTCTCTTTACTTCTACTACTTTCTTCACTCTCCTTCTCTTCTTTGTTCTCCTTGTCTTTCTCTCGCCTGTCATTGTCGCCGAAGAAGAGAAAAAACCTGATTTCAAGGCAATCCTTGCAAAGATAATGGCCGGGCAGAAAAAAGGAGGAGGCAGCAAGTGAGACCAATTCCCTTGGGCTTCTTCTACCAATCTGTTTGCCATTTCTTCTTTCTTTTGTTTGTTTTTTTTTTTGTCTTAAACAATAATGTACAAGTGTCTTTGGTTTTATTATATGTTGTTTGTTCTAACGACATTTTATTGTGTAGACTTTAAATAAACCTTTTGGATTTTACATGTGTTGAAATATATCGTGTAAGCTTGAGATATTGGTATTAAATCATAGAACATACTACATTATTTTCTTTCATTAAATAAAAAGTATAAAAGTCACCGTATTATTCCTTTAATTAAATAACTCCAAAAATTTAACGAATCCCCAAATACATAAACCCTACCCTCTTCTGCTTCTTCCTTCCTCACCCAAAGTTTTGATTTTTGCGATTTTGGGACAACTCCAACATTCGCCATCGAGCGTCACCACCACAATGTTAGTAAGTTTGGAGATTTTTTTTGAGAATCTTATCCTCTCGTTTACTCAAATTTAGTCATTTCAGCGCCTGTTTATCCTTCTCATCCTCTCCTTTTCAGAGCTCTGTAGTCGCATCGTCATTGCCTTGTAATGTATTCTCTGATACTCCAAGGAAGAAGGTCTCTCGAGTTGCAGAAATGGTTTAATCTTTTGCAAATTGCATCTTCTTATTCCAACTCCAACTCCATCTCCTCTGTTAGTGCTGCTCATGTGAGCCCTCAGGATGGTCGAAAAGAGAAAACTTTTACAGTCTCTTACCTCGTTGATTCACTGGGTTTCACTACGAAACTCGCAGAATCAATCTCAAGGAAAGTTATTTCAGAGGGAAAAGGAAACCCATATTCTGTTTTGAGTCTTCTTAAGAGCTATAGGTTCACAGTCTCAGATCTCCAGCATCGTTAGGATTTACCCACGGCTGCTTATAGAAGATGCTGAGAAATCTCTTGCTCCCAAGCTTCAGTTTTTGCAATCCAGAGGAGCTTCGACCTCTGAGCTCACTGAGATTCTTTCGAAAGTTCCTAAGATCTTGGGGATCAAAAAGGACAAAGCTTTCAGCATTTACTATGATTTCGTCAAAGACGTTATCAAAGCTGATGAGTGTTCCAGCTACGAAATGTCATGCCTTTCGTTGCCACAGGGCAACAAACTCAGAAATGTTTTGGTTTTGAGAGAACTGGGCGTGCCTCAGAGGCTCTTATTCCCCTTGCTCATCTCTAATACAGGACCTGTCCATGGGAAAGAAAGATTCGAAGAATCACTCAAGAAAGTTGTTGAGATGGGTTTCGATCCCACGACCTCAAAGTTTGTCCACGCTCTGTGCGTTGTTTACCAAATGAGCGACAAAACAATAGAAGAGAAACTCAACGTCTACAAAAGGTTACTAGGCTTGGATGTGGGAGATGTGTGGGAGATTTTCAAAAAGTGCCCACTCTCTCTGTCGCACTCGGAGCAGAAGGTGTTGGACTCAGTTGAAACGTTTCTTGGCGTAGGGTTCACCATAGATGAGGTGAGGACAATGGTTAAGTGCTTTCCTCAGTGCATTGCGCACTCTGCAGAGCTGGTGAAGATGAAGATTGAGTTTGTGGTGAAGAAGATGAATTGGCCGCTAAAGGCAGTGGCCTCTCACCCTCAGGTGCTTGGATACAGCATGGAGAAGAGGATTGTACCAAGGTGTAACGTAATCAAAGCTCTCATGTCCAAAGGTTTACTCAGAGCCGGAGGAAGCAAACTACCTTCAGTGTGGTCTGTCTTGGCATGTACCGATCAAGCTTTCGTAAACAAGTACGTGACGAAGTACGATGACAAGGAGCTGGTGCGTGAGTTGATGCCCATCTTCACCAAAAATCACAATGCTTGCCAAGATCCCTGAAACTTTAATTTTACAGCTCTCATGTTCAAATGGAATTACGATTTTTTTTCTTGTAACTGAGCTGATGAATAAGAAGAATAAGTTTCGGGTGAAGAAGATGAGATGGCCACTAAAGGGTGTGTCGCTTTGTACCCTCAGGTACTTGGATACAGCAGGGAGAAGAGGATTGTACCAAGGTGTAATGTTTTGAAAGCTCTCTTGTCCAAAGGATTTCTCGGAGACAGAGACAGGAAACTACCAGAAAATGAATCTGTCTTGGTTTGTATTGTCATTTGACTAAACAATACAACTGCATCCATTAAACAATTAAAAATCATGCATCAATTAAACAATTAAAAATCACCGATTAAACAATTGAATGAATCAATTGAATAAATCGATTAAACAAATCAAAAGCACTCATTAAATAATTTCAATTCAATTTTACAATAAAAAAACTCTAAAATTGAAAATTACCTCATTTTTAGTGGATTGAATCACTTAAATTTGATTGGATGATCAACTCAACTCCAAATTACTTGTTTTGATAATCCGCTGAACTAATTAAATTCAAGAACTAATTTTTTTTTTTTATCTTTCCTAAATTCATCTTCAACAAAGCAGATAAAGAAGAAGATTTGCAAAACAGCGTCATCTAGGGTGTATTCAGATTGTTCAAAAATTCAAATGTTATAGTGCAAGCCCAACCAAATGATAAAGCCCAAACCTTTACCCAGAACAAAACGATGTCGTTTTCACTACTGTTCTATGGATCCACGAGCTGGCAGCTTAGTCATCACCGTTAACGGAGTCGGAAACGTTGACTAATAGGGTGATGGTCAAAGTTGGTTTTGGCTGGAGAGAAAAAATGGAAATATATTCAAATATTTAAAAATTTGGATACGAGTTTGCACACCAAAATAGAGTGGATGCTAAATCACTACACTATTCAGAGTGGGGTACGAATTGACCGTTTTCCCATTATTTTGATAGATTTGTAATTATCGAATCTAAAAAAGCCCAAATCAAAATAACCAGAGGTGATTAATTAAAAAGTCTAAACCAACCAGAGGTAATAAAATAATTAAATGGGTTACTAAACCGGACTCACACGGCACTCTTCTCGTGAGTCTCTCTCCCTCACTTAGGTTTACACTTTACAGAGCCAAATCGAAGAAGATGAGGTTTGCGATTGCGTGTACGGCCAGGGGATTTGTTCATCGGAACCTCCATCTCCATCTCCAGGGGAAAGGTAATCCTGGAAATTCTCTTTCTCCGTTTTCCCACTGCGGTTTCCGTCGCCGGGAACGGGCTTTCTCAGGTCTCAGTGATGATTACAGAGAGATATTGCGAAACGGGCTTCGTGATGTTAAGCTAGATGATGCAGTTGATCTGTTCAGTGAGATGGTTCAGTCTCGTCCACGCCTTCCATTGTTGATTTCAGCAAATTGTTGAGTGCCATCGCCAAGATGAACAAGTACGACGTTGTCATCTCTATGGGCGAGCAGATGCAAAAGTTGGGAATTTCACATGATCTCTTATACTTTCAGTATTTTGATAAACTGTTTCTGCCGCTCCTCTCAGCTCCCTCTCGCTTTAGCTATTCTTGGCAAGATGATGAAACTCGGCTATGAGCTCAGCATTGTCACGCTTTCTTCGCTGCTCAATGGTTTCTGTCACGGGAAGAAGATTTCTGAAGCCGTAGCTTTGGTTGATCAAATGGTGGAGATGGGATATCAACCTAACACTTTCACATTCAACACTCTGATCCATGGGCTGTTTCTCGACAACAAAGTCTCAAGATCAACGGTAAAAACTCCAGATGGACATGTGCTCACTTTATTCGCAGTAACTCTTCCATGCATGTTTCAAGTGTAAGAAGTTCGACGACGGCATGCAACTCTTCCACGAGATGTGTCAAAGTGGAATGCTTGGCGAGTTATTCACTTACCTCACTCTCGCCAAGGCCCGTTCGTCTGGTTATCTAGATGGAGTATATGAATGCAGATACAGATTGATGTTCGTTTAGTAGTAGTTACACACATGAACTGGATCATGTATCTGGATTCGCTTTAGAGACTCATCCATGAAAATTAGATTTTCTGATTTAAGCTTTTTTTTTGGTGCATCTGGTTATAGAAAACTCATCCACAAAATAATAAAAGAAAAAAATAGCGTTATTTGAATAAAATAATTATAAATCAATCTACCCCTAAATTCTCAAATCGATACATCAAATTTCAAAATCTTAAATTTTCAAACTCTTCTGCGACGGTAGAAGCTCCACGAAGCAAAACCGTAAAATTAAGTTTTTTTTTTCACCTTTTCTATTAAAACAACAAAACTGCATTTCTTACAAAATCGTAAAATTTTATTTTTTTCGCTAAATTGCAGAATTGAGTTTCTCCCACCAAAACCGTAAAAACGAGTTTTTCTATGAAAAACGCAAAAAATTATGTTTTCCCGCCAAAACCGCAAAATCATTTTTTCCTGCTAAAATCACAAATCATGTTTTTCTGCCAAAATCGCAAATTTACATTTTTTCACAAAAATTATAAAATTATATTTTTCCACCAAAACCGCAAAATCGTATTTTTCCGTCAAAATTGCAAAAACACATTTTCACCAAAATCTCAAAATCATGTTTTTCGCATGTTTTCTCAGTAAAACCGCAGAATTGTATTTTCTCGTTAAACCCGCAAAATCATATTTTTTTGCCAAAACCACAAAATCACGTTTTTCTGCTGAAACCACAAAATTGTGTTGCAAAAAGCCAAAAACTACAAAATTACATTTTTCATCAAAACCGCAAAATTATGTTTCCCGCTCAAACCGCAAAGTTGTGTGTTTCCCATCAAAACCGCAAACTCATGTCTTTCACCAAACTGTAAAATCACGTTTTCCTGCCAAAATCCGCAAAATCATTTTTTTTCCCACCAAACCAGCAAAAAGTATTTTTTCAGCTAAAACTGCAAAAACACGTTATTTCACCAAAACCGCCAAATCAGTTTTTTTTTCATAATTGTGAAAGTTTAGAGTGTGATTCTATTTAAACCGAGAAAATAGCTTTTGCATAAAATATGGGATTTTTGGTCGTTTTACATATACTGCATCCAGATACAATTACCAAAATACAAAGCTAACATAACTGCTTCCGGATACAATTTCTAGACACATAAACCAGAAACAGAAACTAACATCATCTGAATGCTGCGTCTGGATATTGCTTTCAGATAACCAAACGAACAGGGCCTCAAAGGCTTTTTTCGAATCTGGCGGCTGTGAGAATGCCCAACAAGTTTTCAAACAAATGGTTTCTGGTGGTGTCCCTCCTAATATTATGACTTACAACATTGTGTTGGATGGGCTTTGTAATAACGGGAAGCTCGAGAAAGCATTGGTCATATTCCAGGATTTGCAAAAGAGTGAAATGAAACTCAATATTGTCACATATGTTATAGTGATTAATGGGATGTTTAAGGCTGGTAAAGTGGAAGAGGCGTGGGATTTGTTTAGTAGCATCGGCCTCAAAGGAGTGATGAAGCCTGATGTTGTGACCTACACTACAATGATCTCAGGTTTTTGTGGGAAAGGCTTAAAGCAGGAAGCCGATGCCTTGTTCATAGAAATGAAAGAAGATGGGCCTCTCCCAGATAGCGGTACGTATATAATACGCTGATCAGGGCACATCTTAGAGATGGTGACAAAGAAGCATCAGCAGAACTCATCAAGGAAATGAGGAGTTGCGGCTTCGCTGGAGATGTTTCAACAAAAAGCTTGGTTTGTCATATGTTGCATGATGGGAGATTAGAGAAGAGCTTTATGGACATGCTCTCTTGAAACCCTCTTACATCAAAAGCATCTGTGAGGTGAATTAAGCATAATTACTTCTCAACGCAGTCCTGACGTTACATGTGAATAGATAGATATGTGTTGTGAGCTTGTTTATTTCATTGTCAGGTTAACACAGGAAGAAAGCAGACACGAGCCTGATTTTTTGCTAGTTTATGGACCTGTGAGGTGTGCCATCACGGTTCTCTCCGATTTTTGGAGACTTGGGTACACCAAGATATCTTTTAGGACTAAATCTAGCAGAACTGTGTTTTCTTTTCTTGTGTTTGGTTTTTTATATAGACATATGGTATCTTTGAAGTACATGAGATATGGTTTCAATGGTAGTAATAATCTAATGGTAAGTTGCTTTGCATCTTTAAAAAATTCAGCAGAGTGTGTTTGTTTGTTCTCGACAGGAACGTGAGAGTGAATCTCTTGACGCAGAGCAAAGTTTTTAGTGAGGAAACAGTTTGAACCGAGATTTGTTAAGATGAAGTACACCGAACCGGAGATTAACCAAAGCGAATGGATTGGTGAAGGACAGTGTAACTTTGGATGTTAATGACGCAATGCAGCTCAAGAAGTGGCCTTCCTTGCTCAATTTCTCCATTGAAACATTTATAGGCCTAGGATTCAGCAGAGATGAGTTTGAGAGTATGCTCAAACGCTTTCCTCATTGCATTGGGATATCCGGTGAGACGGTGAAGAACAAGACTGAGTTTTTGGTGAAGCAGATGTACTTGGAATTGCAACCAAAGAACAAGTGGTTTGTGTTCTTACATGAATCTTAATGGATTAGTTTGGTTATATATCTTCATATATGGAAAAGATGGAATCTATGTCCAAAATCTTTTGGTTTCTACTGCAGATATGCTTCATTCTTGTTTATGTTTCGGTTGGTGGCTTGGTACTGAACACTCATACATTTGTAATTCTGAAGCTTGCATTTTCGGTTTCCTCATAAAGAGAAAGAAGCATTTCAAAGGTTTTGTTCATATCATTCTCTTGTATCATTTGTACGTACAATGCATTTAGCTTTTCAGATTCACAAAGTTTTTCATGTTTTGATCCCTTTTTTTTGTTTCTCTTGAAAATTACGAATTTTATTGTTTGTCTTGTTCATATCAGTCTCTTGTATGTACAATTCGTATCTTTGTTTCGAATTTAATAAATTTGAAGCAGAAATTCTGGTTCTTAACTTATGATATTTATTTCGTGTCAACACATTGAACAACGTCGTTTAATTATACTTTAATTGCAGTCTAGTAGAGCCGCGAATTCGCTTCTTAGCAAAAGAAAAGTTATTTTTGTTACGAGGAACAGTGATAAACCCTAATTTCCTCGCTCTCTCTTTTCTTTTTCCTTCCTTCTCATCCAACAAACACTGAGATCGATGATTGGGTCTCGAATTGTTTAAGCATTGTGGGAATTTGGTGTTCCTAGTTTTCCTTTCGCATCGACTTCTTCTCCCTTTTGTCATGTATTCTCTGATTCTCCATGGAAGAAGGTCTCTGGAGTTGCAGAAATGGCGTAATTTGAGATTCGCATTAAACCATTTTCAAAATGAGTCTGCTTTCGCTAGTTTCTTCTCCTCTGCTAGTGATTCACTTGTGAGCCCTAGAAATGGTCGAAAGGTGAAGACTTTTACAGTCTCTTACCTCGTTGGTTCACTGGGTTTATCTGCAAAACTCGCAGAATCCATCTCGAGGAAAGTCAGCTCGGAGGGCAATGGTAACAATCCAGATTCCGTTCTGAGTCTGTTTAGAAGCCATGGGTTCACAGATTCGCAGATCTCCAACATCGTTACGAGTTACCCACGAGTGCTTATGCTGGATGCTGAGAAATCTCTTGCTCCCAAGCTTCAGTTTCTGCAATCCAGAGGAGCTTCAAGCTCCGAGGTCACTGGTATACTCTCAAAAGCCCCTAAAATCTTGGGAAAGAAAGGAGAGAAGACTATAAGCAGGTACTACGATTTCGTCAAAGAGATTATAGAAGCCGATAAGAGTCTCAAGTTCGAAAAGTTGTGTCAATCTTCTTTGCCACAGGGTCAGCTGGAGAACAAAATCCGAAATGTATCGGCTTTGAGAGAGTTAGGCGTGCCTCAAAAGAGGCTATTCCACTTGCTCATCACCAATGACTCACCTGTTTGTGGGAAAGAAAAGTTTGAGGAATCTCTCAAGAAGGTTGTTGAGATGGGTTTTGATCCTACAGCGTTGAAGTTCGTCGAGGCTCTTCGTGTTCTTTACGCTTACAGCGACAAAACGATAGAGGAAAGAGTCTGTTTCTATGGAAGGTTAGGCTTATCTGTGGGAGATGTATGGGAAATGTTCAAGAAGTGTCCTTTCTTTCTGAATTTCTCGGAGAAGAAGATAGCTCAGACGTTTGAAACACTGAAGAAGTGTGGACTGCTCGAAGAAGAGATCCTCTCAGTGTTCAAGACATCTCCTCGTTGCATTGGTACTTCAGAGCAAGGGATAGCCACTTCCGTTGAAACATTTATAGGCTTAGGATTCAGCAGAGACGAGTTTGCTGCGATGGTCAAGCACTTTCCTTCGTCGCTTAATTACTCTGCGGAGACTGTGAAGAAGAAGAGTGAGTTTGTGGTGAATCAGATGAAGTGGCCACTGAAGGCTGTGGCTTTGTTCCCTCAGGTGCTTGGATACAGCTTTGAGAAGAGGATTGTGCCAAGGTGTAACGTAATCAAAGCTCTCTTGTCCAGAGGATTGCTCAGAAACAAACTGCCTCCATTGTCGACAGTGTTGGCGATTACCGATCAAGCATTTTTAAACAAGTATGTGAAGAAACTTGATGACGAGGAGCTGGTGAATGAGCTTATGGGATATCTTCACCAGAGTTCATGTTTCAAAGATCAGAAGGGCTTGTGAAGGGGAAAGATTTTTGCTTTTCTTTACGAATCTCTGTAAAATCCAAATTGTAACTTTGAATCCCCTCTTTTGTGCTTAGCGGTTTCAGTTTCAGGCTACTTTCAGTCAATTGATTCGTATGTAACATCTTGTCCTGCTACATAAAAACTTGATTTTTATTGTTCTGTTTTGGTGAATGATGATGCTGATACAGCATAAAGCATAGAAGGAAGCTCAGAAGAGACGAGAAATGTTTCAAAATGGTTGAAGTTTTGTATTGAAAGTGTTTGGTTTTCTTAGAACCAATCAGTTTTATTAAGAGTGAAGCTAAAAGTCAAGCCACTGCTTATATGAATCTTTGTAGTTTGTACTTTGCACAATTACTTCGTCTTGTTGAGCCGAAACAGTTTGTTTCCCTCTCTCTTCTGCCCCGTTTCTTCTGGTTCAGTAAAAGCATTGCCTTTCGCCATGTATTCTTTGGTACTCCATGGAAGAAGGTCTCTCATCGCGTTGCAGAAATGGCGTAACTTGAGAGTTTCAGTGACCCTTTTTCAAAATGGATCTGCTTTTTCCAATTCCTTCTCCTCTGCAGGTGCGAGCCTTCAAAACGGTCGAAAAGGAAAGACCTTTACAGTATCTTACCTCGTTGATTCACTGGGTTTCACTAGAAAGCTCGCAGAATCGATCTCGAGGAAACTCATCTCGGAGGGAAAGGGAAACCCAGATTCAGTTCTGAGTCTTTTAAGAGATTATGGGTTCACAGATCCTCAGATCTCTCAAGAAGATTGTTGACATGGGTTTCGATCCCACCACCAGAAGGTGTGTCAAAGCTTTGTGCGTTGTTTAGCAGATGAGCCACAAAACAATACAAGAGAAAGTTAACTTCTACAAAAGGTTAGGCTTTTCTGAGGGAGATGTATGGGATAGATTCAAGAAGAATCCACAGTTTCTAGCACTCTAGAACTCCATTGAAACGTTTTTAGGAGTAGGGTTCAGCAGAGATGAGATTGTGCTGATGGCCAAGCGGTTTTCTCAGTGTCTTAATCTGTCTGCAGAGTCGGTGAAGAACAAGACTGAGTTTCTGGTGAAGGAGATGAATTGGCCGATAAAGGCTTTGGTTTCAAACCCTGCAGTGTTTGGATACAGCCTGGAGAAGAGGATTGTGCCGAGGTGTAACGTTATCAAAGCTCTCATGTCCAGAGGATTGCTCGGAGATAAACTCCCTGCAACGTCGAGAGTGTTGGCGATTACGGACCAAGCTTTCTTAAACAAGTTTGTGAAGATACACAATGACAAGGAGCTGGTGCGTGAACTTGTGGCTATCTTCACCAGAGGTCGTGTTTCATAGATCAGGAAGGCTTGTCAAGGATTTTGCTTTTCTTTATGGCTTAAAGCTGTAATTTTTGATTCTCTGTTCCGATATCTTACTGAGGTTTGTAGCCTAGTAAATAACAACTTAGCCAAATAGCTGTTAGTTGTGTTTTTATATCTTTGGGACCTTGTTGGTATGGACCATTGAAGTATATGATTGTAAGCAGAGGTATAATATGCTATAACTAGTAATTTTTCTTCTGTTTTTCTTTTGGTTTCTTTGCATGATTCTCTGGCATGGAGACTTTAACTAGCTTAAGATATGAAGAACTTGATTTGATTGGAAAGAAAGAAAAGCACATATCGATCTTTCTTGGTACTTTCTTTGGATTCATATCAAACATTTTGTCCTGTTACATTAACACAATAACACTAGTAATAGTCCATGCTTTCTCCTTGGAGACCTGCGTTCGAACATATTGAAGCAAGTTCTCTTTTCTCCTTGATGAAAAAAGCTTTAATCTATGAGTGCCTGATCAGATTCTTCACAAGGAAATGGGAAATGAAAGCTGAAGCGAGAAAGAAAGAAAAAGAACTAATGATGAAAGTAGAAGTTGGAGAAAGCTCAGAGGGAAAGAAAAGAGAAAAAGTACAGAAGGAAGCTCAGAACTCAGAAGAGACGAGGAATGTTTCAAAATGGTTTAAAGTTTTCTCCGTAGCAATTAAAAGCTCACGTCCTCGGGTTCGAATTCCCGGCAGCCCACAATACTCTTTGTATTTATTTATTTTTGAAAACTTGAAGATCCTAAATCAAGGTTTATTTATCGGTGATGGGTCCAGAAACTTATGATATTGCATCGTAAACCCTATGTTTGTTTTCTTTTCTTAAATGCGACTTAGGGTTTCGCGAGTGAGTAGTACAGTACATGAACTAGAAAAGATTGGTGGAATTGCTTAATGTATTATTCTGTGATTCTCCATGGAAGAAGATCTATCTTCGCGTTGCAGAAATGGCGTAACTTGAGAGTTTCAGTGACCCTTTTTCAACAGGGATCTGCTTTTTGCAACTCCTTCTCCTCTGCAGGTGCGAGCCTTCAAGATGGTCGAAAAGGGAAGACCTTTACAGTCTCTTACCTCGTTGATTCACTGGGTCTACCTACAAAACTCGCCGAATCGATCTCGAGGAAAGTTATTTATGAGGGAAAGGGAAACCCAGATTCTGTTTTGGATCTTTTTAGAGATTATGGGTTCACAGATCTTCAGATCTCAAGCATCGTTGCGAGTTATCCACCATTGCTAATGCTAGACGCTGAGAAATCTCTTACTCCCAAGCTCAAGTTTCTGCAGTCGAGAGGAGCTTCAACCTCCGAGCTCACTGAGATCCTATCGAAATTTCCTAAAATCTTGGGAATGAAAGAGGACAAGGTCATCGTCAGATACTACGGTTTCGTCAAGGACATCATAGAAGCTGATAAGAGCTCTAGGTACGAAATGTCATGTCTTTCTTCGCCACAGGGCACTAGGCAGGATAACATCATCAGAAATGTTTTGGTTCTGAGAGAATTGGGCGTGCCTCAGAGGCTGTTACTCCCTTTGCTCGTCTCCAATCGCAAACTCGTCTCTGGTAAAGAAAGATTCGAAGAATCCCTCAAGAAGATTGTTGAGATGGGTTTCGATCCCACAACCTCAAAGTTTGTCAAAGCTCTGTGCGTTGTTTACCAGATGAGCGACAAAACAATACAAGAGAAAGTTGGATTCTACAAAAGGTTAGGCTTTTCTGAGGGAGATGTATGGGATAGATTCAAGAAGAATCCACAGTTTCTAGCACTCTCGGAGAAGAATGTTCTCAACTCCATTGAAACGTTTCTAGGCGTAGGGTTCAGCAGAGATGAGATTGTGCTGATGGCCAAGCGGTTTTCTCAGTGTCTTAATCTGTCTGCAGAGTCGGTGAAGAACAAGACTGAGTTTCTGGTGGAGAAGATGAATTGGCCGATACAGGCTTTGGTTTCGAACCCTGCAGTGTTTGGATACAGCCTGGAGAAGAGGACTGTGCCGAGGTGTAACGTTGTCAAAGCTCTCATGTCCAGAGGATTGCTCGGAGATAAACTCCCTGCAACGTCGAGAGTGTTGGCGATTACGGACCAAGCTTTCTTAAACAAGTTTGTGAAGATACACGATGACGAGAAGCTGGTGCGTGAGCTTATGGCTATCTTCACCAGAGGTCTTGTTTCATAGATCAGAAGGTTTGTAAAGGATTTTGTTTTTTACTTTATGAATGACGAACCTCCCAATATTAGACTTTTGTAGTCTTTAAACTGTAATTTTGAATCGTTGTTCCGATATCTTTACTGAGGTTTGTGGACTAGAAATATAACAACTTAGCCAAATAGCTGTCTGTTGTTTGTTGGTTTCTTTGTGATCTTGTTCGTAATGGACCATTGAAGTATCAGAACACAGTCAAAGGTATATTGGTCTTTATTTATAGGAAAGAGAGAAGCACATATCGTTCTTTCTTGGTATTTTCTTGAATCAGTTCCATAGAAGTATCTGTAAAGATGCAAAGATGTTTATGAGCTTTAGATTAAGCTTTAGATTGCAGCCATGGAGAAGAGGATTGTATCAAAGGTTCCCACTTCATACGTTTATACTATTGTACGAGAACAAGTTCATGTATTGGGCTAATGGGCCGCAACAAGCCCATCTTAAACCCTATGTAGTTTTTCGTCTCCTCTTGTCCGAAAAATTTGACTTTTCTTCCTTGACGATTTGGGGTTTATGTTTCGTTGGGAGATTCGTCTTCCTCGATTTGAAACGGAGACTGTAAAGTTTCTGATCTTCCTTCTCTTGTGCTCCTTTCTTCGCATTTCCTTGTCATGTATTCCCTTATACTCCATGGAAGAAGGTCTTTCGAGTTACAGAAATGGCGTAATTTGAGATTTGCTGCTTTCTCCAATCCGTTCTCTTCCCTAAGTGCTGCTGATGTGAGCCCTAGAGATGGTAGAAAACGGAAAGGGAAGAACTTTACAGTCTCTTACCTCGTTGAATCTCTGGGTTTAACTAAGAAACTCGCCGAATCAATCTCGAGGAAAGTCAGTTTAGAAGACGAGCGAAATCCAGATTCTGTTCTGGGTCTTTTGAGAAGTCACGGGTTCACAGATTCTCAGATCTCCACCATCGTTACGGATTACCCGCGGTTGCTTACATTAGACGCTGAGAAATCTCTTGCTCCCAAGCTTCAGTCTCTGCAGTCCAGAGGAGCTTCAAGCTCTGAGCTCACAGAGATTCTCTCGAAAGTTCCAGAGATCTTGGGGAAGAGATTCGTCAGCGGATACTATGATTCTGTCAAATGCATTATCGAAGCAGAAAAGAGTTATAACCATGAAAAGCTAAGTCACTCTTTCCCACAAGGTAGCCTAGAGAACAAAATCCGAAATCTATCGCTTTTGAGAGAGTTGGGTATGCCTCAGAGGCTGTTGCTCCCTTTGCTCATCTCCAAATCGCAGCCCATTTGTGGGAAAGAGAACTTTGATGCATCACTCAAGAAAGTAGTCGAGATGGGTTTTGACCCGACCACCTCAAAGTTTGTCCTAGCTCTGCGTATGATTTACCAAATGAGCGACAAGACGATTGAAGAGAAGGTCCAAGTCTACAAAGGCTTAGGCTTTACCGTGGAAGACACATGGGAGATCTTCAAGAGCACTCCTACTTTTCTGAAAGTCTCCAAGAACAAGATATTGAGCTCCCTGGAGACGTTCCTAGGCCTAGGATTCAGCAGGGACGAGTTTGCGAAGATGGTCAAGCGCTATCCTCCGTGCGTCGAGTATTCGGCAGAGTGTATCAAGAAGAAGACTGAGTTTTTGCTGAAGGAGATGAACTGGACTGTGAAGGCTGTTGCTGTGCACCCTCAGATTGTTGGATACAGCTTTGAGAAGAGGATTGTGCCAAGGTGTAACGTGATCAAGGCTCTCTTGTCCAGAGGAAAGGGAAGTAAACTCCCTCCAGTGTCCTCTGTTATGTCTTGTACTGATCAGCAGTTTTTGAGCAAGTATGTGTTGAAGCATGAGAAGCTGGTTCCTGAGTTGATGGCTATCTTAACAAGAGGACATTTCCACAACAGTGAGCAGCAACGTTAAAGGTTTGTTCTGTTTTGTGTTAGCTATTTTTTTTGACAGTGAAACCTTTTTTTGTGGTTTTGTAATCTCAATTTGACTTTGGATTCAACCCGTTTCCTGGTAATATGCAAATCCGGCTGGGAAAATAACAACTCAGTAGCCCTAGAAGCAGCAAGCAATGCAGCTGCAAAGAGAATGGCCATGTCAAAGATCAACACTTTTGCTTGTGATATCATTACATGCGTGTCTGTGGATTGATATACAACTTGTATGTTTCGTTGCTCTTGGACTTCTTGTGCAGAACTAGATTATATCACGATGAATTTTTAGCTTTAAAACCTTTAGTTGTTGTAATCAAAAGAGACCTTAATTGAGGATTCATCAGTAGATTGAGAATCACAGGTTCAAATATGATAGCAGAGAATAATAGATGTAATATTGTAAAGCGATTGTAGCTTGGCTGCATTAGATATTCTGCAGAGTCAGTGTGAAGAAGAAGACTGAGTTTCTGGTGACAAGGAGAAGAAGATAAATAAATCATGTTTTACATAGCTTATGACAATCAAATCTGCTGTAGCACAAAGGTTAATTTCGAACATTGTTGAGACCCTGAAAACTTGAGAGGTCAGCCGAATTCCGGGTTCGACGCCCGGTAGCGGTAAATTTTTTTAATTTGGAACAGTTTTGTTAAGATCTCATGAAAGTAAAACCCTAATACGTCCCCAAATTTTTGGATTTTGTTTCTGCGATTTTGATTTCGGCGGCAAGTGAATAAACGGAGAATATCTATGACTTTTGCAGAATGTATCTGTGGGTAACCCACTGAGCCTTGCAGAGGCTCTCTCTCCTTGAATCTAATGAAGACATAGTTGAGTGAACCGTCTTGTTCGCTTGGGTAAGAAGCTACAGAACAGAACAGAGCATTGCCTTTTTTTACTCTGTTTTAGTAAAAAAGCTCATAACTTTATATTTGTGTTTGCCTTTAGGTTTGTTCTGCCCTGCACCTCTCCTCTACTTGTTTCATATATCCGAAACTGCGTTAACGTCTCTATTTACTATGATTGATTTTGTAATAATTACATTTACTTCAGTAAATTTAGCGGTTTTGAGTCAAATCATTAATTTATTTTTGCTTCCATAATTAAGGTAAGTTTACGGATCTCTCTCTCCCTAGATGTTGCACCTAACCACAAGTTATTCATTAAGTAGGGGTTATTGGTTCTTGTATTTTGGTGAATTTAGAAATCTTCTTTGGATTTAATAAATTTATTGATTTCAAAATCAACAAAATAGAAAAAAATCAAATCCACTCAAATACCGAGGTTAGACCTTGTATTTGAATCTTTGTATTTTAGTCATGAAAATCTTTCCAAATCCATTCAAATTCAATTAAAACTCAAATCTTTATAATATTTAGATTTTAAAATGATAGAACCAATAACACTGTATTTCATTATGGATTTTAAAATCATAGAACCACTAACACTGTATTTTAATATAGATTTTAAAATACAAGAACCAATAACACTGAATTTGGTTTGGATTCTCAAATCCATTAAAATACAAGAACCAATAACACCTCCTAAATTCTTTTGATTATCTTTTTGTTTTTTGATAACTAAGGAAATTTCAGGTTAATTATTGGGAGAGGTGTTCAGTGATAGACCATCTCTCCGTGTATTTAAATAATTCGAAAGCAAATAAATGGGAATTGCTAATAATTCTATGCTGAAGGAGATCGATCAACAGGGCAACTCCTCCTCAAATAAGAACTATTAGACCACCATTACTTAGTTAAATTCTTTTAATTATCACTGAAAAAACTATCAATAATCATAATGTATGGCATGGATGATTCTTGTTGAATCGTCTAATGTATAATTTTAAGCTACCAATATATAATGATCTGATTTTGAGCCCATCACTAGTCCCCTTATAATCAAGGAAGATTGGTACCATCTTATTTATTGCGTTTGAAAAATTTCTATCATCGGCCGTCTAAATTTAATGTGGTGGATCATATTTTGTCTCTCGATTCAAACAAAACACTCAAATAATGTTATTATTTGATTTCATTCTGAACATAACTTTTTTTTTTATCATTGAATTTCAACACTCAACAGCCACATTCAAGCTGCAATGAATATCTGCTGACTTGCCGCTTATGCATTTCCAGGTTGGGTCGTGCGAACTTGATCAAGGTAAAATAAAGATATATATATTTAAGAGAACAGGATTATCAGAAACAAATCTCTAGAGAGAGATCCGTAAACTTACCTTAATTGTTTGTGACGGAAGAGTATACAGTGAGGGTGAGAGAGATGCATGGAGTGAGTGAATCATTGGGTTTGAATAGTATGCAGTTTTTTTACGTTATTACGTTTTCACGTTTTGGAAACTTGATTCTGTTATTTTTTACCATTTATGTTATTCATCACGTTTTCACGTTTTTTTATGTTTTTGAAATGTGATTCCGCTAGCGTGTTAAAAATATAACTAAAAAAAATAAAATGTGATTAATCTACTAAAAGTAGCTTTTCAGCGTTTTACAATTATTCAACTAAAATATTATTCAGTTCAGTTCATTCCACTAATAATTTTTCAGTTATTCGGCTATTATATTATTCATTTGACATACCAGTCAGACCCATTATATGTCGCTGCATCGAATGTTTCCCAGTATTCACTATTCAGGATACGTAATATTTTTCTTGTAATGAAGCAAAGTATCAACTGAAACTAATGATATTCACACAGTAACTTGATGATAAGATTTTATGTCTTTTCTATTACGTAAGTGATGATAAGGTGCGAAATCAGACCATACATTGAATTAAAGAACGATATATTAAATTAGGTTAAAGAATTTAGAACTTTTTTAACAAAAAAAAAAGAAAAGAATTTCCCAGTATATAAATGCAAATATTAAATTGTATTTAAATTTCCGAAGTGGAACCAAGCAATGTCCCATCACAAAGAAATTTGATCCAACGGGTTTCACGTTTAGGAAATCTATTTTGATTGGAAAAAGGGATTTCTATAAATTTCCCCCATCACAAAGAAATTTGATCCAACGGGTTTCACGTTGTTTACCAAATAATTGACAAAATGATTATGTCTGAAAACTATATTAATTTATGGAATATTAATTATATTTTCTCTCGTTGATATGGATTATGGTAAGATTTTCGTGATGCATCCGTCAAGAAAGTAGTGGAGATGGGTTTTGATCCAACCACCTCAAAGTTTGTCCTAGCTCTTCTGCGTATGTTATACCAAATAAGCGACAAAGCGATCGATGAAAAGGTCGAAGTCTATGAAGGCTTATATAGTCTTTACTGTGGAAGATATATGGGAAATCTTCAAAAGCACTCCTACTTTTCTGAAAGTCTCCAAGAACAAGATATTGAGCTCCATTGAAACATTTCTAGGCTTAGGATTCACAAGGGACAAGATTATGAAGATTGTCAAGCGTTATCCTCTATGGGTCGAGTATTCTGTAGAGTGTATCAGAAGAAGATTAAGTTTTTTTTGTAACATTCAGATTTCAGAAATATGAATATAAATGTATCTGTAGAGAAGTTTAAAGGAACTGATTTGGCTATCTATATCACCAAAGTATATTTATCACATTTATCTTTTCGATCTGAAAGAACTTCAAGGTTAAGCGGGTTTGAGATGGATTAAAATTAGGACGGGTGACTTTTTATGAAAGGAAAAAGCTTAGTTATTCTCTCCATTCTACTGGTTACATCATGATCGGTATAACAAAATCCAAATGAATAATAAATAACCAACTAGACCAAATTAACTTTGGAATTCTCGAATTGGGTAAAACCGCTTCAATCCAATCAAATCCATGATGATGTAAAGAATGTAAAGGCCTATTTAAATTTACATGAGATAAATAAATAAATTTTTACATAGCTTAGCACAAAAGTTAATTTCGAACATTGCTTGTGAGCTCAGCCGAATTCCGGGTTTGACCCCCGGCAGCGGAATATATTTTTAACTTAGAACAGTTTTTGTTATGATGTCATGAATGTAAAACCCTAATACGTCCCCAAATTTTTGGATTTATTTTTTTGCAATCTATGACTTTTGCAGAATGATAGGTGTGTGAGTGTGGTGGGTAACCCACTGAGCCTTGAAGAGGCTCTCTCACATAGTTGAGTCAACCGTCTTGTTTGCTTCGGTAACAAGCTACAGAACAGAACAGAGCATTGGCTTTTTACTCTGTTTTAGTAAAAAGCTCATAACTTTATGTTTGTGTTTGCCTTTAGGTTTGTTCTGCCGGCAGAGCTGAACGAGACAAAGGTGAGGCAGGTGAGATCAAAGGAGGAGAGACGGTAAAGACATAATAACAACATTTGAATTGGTGGTAATATAATGACATAAAGGTGTTTACATCATTATTTATTCTTGAATGGTGAAAAAAGAAGAAGACATAAACAACAATTTATTCTTGGAACAAAGAAATGAGAATAGTGGAGTGAAGATGTCTTTAAGTCCACTGGGTAAGGACTGGGATAGCTTCAAGTGGGAGTTTCTTGACACATATAAGTCCATAGTTCTCTTCAATTGATAATTCTTCTGCCTTCATTCCATTTGGAAGCTTCCAGTCAAAACGGTAAAGAAGATTGATGAGAGTCAAGTGGACCACAGCCAAACCCATGCCCATACCGGGACACATCCTCCTTCCGCTACCAAACGGCAACAGCTCAAAGTTGAGACCTTTAAAGTCAGTCTGGTTATCGATAAACCTCTCGGGGTTGAAAGTCTCTGGATCTTTCCAAATGCTTGGGCTCATATGAACAGCCCACATGTTGACATGGATCCATGTTTTCTCTGGAACGTCGTAACCTGCGATCTTTAGATCTTTTGCAGCTACTCTTGGAACCAGGACCGGCACAATCGGTGATATCCTAAAGGTTTCTTTCAACACAAGTTTGAAATAATCGAGCTGCTCCACATCGTCATCCGTGATTTCGTCTATGTTCTTGATCTTTTCTCTTATCTCGGCTTGCAGTTTCTTCATCACTCTTGGGTTTGCAAGCAAATGTGTCATCGCCCATGTCATGGTTTGTGCAGAAGTGTCTATTCCAGCAGTAAGAATGTTCTGTAATAACCCAAAACAAAAGACAAGATATTTAATTAGCAAATAGAATATTATTTGGGGGATTCTTGAAACTTTTGAGTTGAAATGTTACTTACCATAAGAATCCCTTTGGTGTGTTCTCGAGTAAGTTCATACTCTCCGAGTGAACCCTCTCCTCTTTCCATCTTGAGAAGCAAGTCAATGATGTCATCCTTAATACTCGGATCATCTATATGACGCTGTATCGCTTGATCAAAAAACGAATCAATTCCATGGAAAACTTTCTCACATTTGGCATGTAAACCGGTGATCCTATCGATGATTGTGCCGATAACCGGGAAGTAATCCACTGCTGCCAAGCTCCCCAACACCTCAAAAGCTTGCACAATGATTTCTTGATAAGTGTTCTCAAGCTTACTCCCTTCAAGGTTTATCCCAAATCCAATCCTACAGATCACACTTCCCGACATTTTCAATATCTTCTGGCTGAGATTAACTGTCTCCTCCGACGAAGCAGCTTGCTTGTTGAAACGGACGAAGGAGGCAACTTCTTCTTCTCTTATATGTCGAAACGACTGTACCCTTTTCGCAGTGTAGAGCTCCACGACCGTCAGCTTTCGCACTTGCCTCCAGTATTTGTCGTAAGGAGAGAAGACGAGATCTTTTAAATTGTACGTGATTCTTGCAGGGTAGGTCATGTAAGGTCGTGAACAACATTCTAAGTCGTATGTTTTCAAGACGTCCCTCACCGTCTCTACTGAAGTTGCCACAACAGTTGTCACGCTTCCAAGCTTCAGGGACATTAGAGGACCGTACGTTTTGGATAACTCGACCATCGCACGGTGAGGCTTCTCTCCAAGTTGGTGCAAGTTTCCAATAATAGGAAGTCTCGGTGGTCCAGGTGGTAGATTCTTCTTTGGCTTTCTCTTGCTCTTTGCAATGAGTAGAGATGCAAAGATGACCAATGCTGCAACGATATACAACAAATCCATCTTGTCTCCTACCAAATCAAATAGAAAGTGATTAGGTCGAAGTAATAGATAGTATGATGATTAATTTCTAATTAGGTCGAAGTAATGTACTGTAGATAGTTTTTTTTGTTTATAGAGTCGAATGTTTCAAGAAATCATTTACCGTCTTTATTTTCTAAAATGCTGATATCTAAAGACGTCCTAACTATATTTATATAGCTATACATATGAGCATGTAATCTAAAGTTCCAAATTATGGATTTTGTTTGATACGTCAATGTACCAGAAAATAACTTTCTCAAAATACTCTAACTTCTAATGACTACATAATAACTAATTTCAGAAATGCTATGAAAATAAAAGTGAAATTTTGGTATGGGTTTTTCTATTTTTGAATGTAATATTTTTCACATATTTTGTAATTTTTACTATTATTTTAAATCTTATTGATAGTAGTTTCGAAATGGATTATTCAGATTCACATTCATGTAATTATTTCTTTGATTCGATGGATTCAAATCTGAATATTTTAAAAATTCTTAAATAGTTTGTCGGATTAAACTAAAATGACGTTATAATTACATAGAACAAAGAAGAGTCATAACTCTACCGTAATCCAAGACAAAAGGCAGAGCCGTGTCTTAAGAATACGAACACTGGAAACTATGCTAAAAATATATATATATATACAATAATGCATATAAAGGAAATAATATCTTACTCATCCCAAGTAAAGAAAAACTAGATTGAAAACAAAATATTAACTGTATTATACACAAATAGATAAATTCATATTTGTTTTTGTAAAAAGAGCTAATAGATAATTCATGTTGTAAAAGAAAAAAGAAGATAATTCATGTTATACATTAATTTGGCAAAAGCATGTGCACAAAGACATTTCATATCTAACGTCAACAAAATAAACAAGGGACATCATACCTTTTTCTTCTTTTTTTTTGTAAGTCAAACAAAGACATCATATCTCTAATTTGAGAAAACTATCTAAAAATGAACCTTTGAATTATATTGTTAAATAAAATGCCATATGGGAAAGTTTAATTTTGTTTGCCTTAGGCTACAAGACTTGCCATAATAAACCAAATGGCTAGAGAAAACATTGAGTAACTAACAAATAAAGATATATAAAAGAGAACAGGAATATCAGAAAGAAATATCTAGAGAGAGATTCGTGAACTTACCTCACTTGTTTGTGACGGGAGAGTATACACTGAGGGTGAGGGAGATACAAGGAGTGAGTGATATTTATATTATTGAGAAGAGACCCAACCCAAGATATATGGGTGCCTCAATTGCTTCCAAATATTCTGGATATGTAAATTTGTCTTGTAATGAAGCAAAATATCAATTGAATTAACATTTTACCTAACGAAAAATAAAATAGTTGAAAATGATGTCCACACAAAATTAGTTACAACTGGATGATAAGATTTTGTCTGATTTCTAATATGTAAGTGATATAAGGTACGAAATCAGACCAGATACATTGAACGAAAGAACGATATTTTTAGCACGTGTTTTAGGTTTTAGGTTATTTTTTGCCTTATGGGCTTTAGTAAAAAAAATCTGAAGGAATATAAAAACAAATATTGAATAGTATTAATAGCAATGTCAGGGTTTCACGTTCAGGAAAAATCTATTTTTGATTGGAAGAAGGTATTTTTGGGCCCGAAAAAGTCTTATTGGAAGCAGTTACCATCTAATCATCACAAAGAACTTTTGATCCAACAAAGTCAAAGTTAGTTTGTCCATTGTTTACCTAATGAGTGACAGAACGACTGAAAAAAAAAGTTTATGTCTATAAAATAATAGAAGGCTAGGCTTCTCTGTGGGCGAATGTATGGGAAATGTCATTGTTTTTACTCTTACTCTTTTTAACTCTTTATTGGTCCTCTAAATTACATACATTTATCATTGTTTTCTCTTTGTTGATATGGATTATGGTTTGATCTTTGTGTTGTGCTTGCTCTGTTTTGGAAATTAAAAAACATAGCATACATAATCTGCATTTTACTTATTTTGTATATTGTATCAACAATTTTTTTTTGTATAAGTTTAGAAACCACAGCTATATATTTAAAAGAGTGGGCACGCTTGACAATTAGAAAGCCCTAATTTTTATTATAATATTGGAGGTAGATGGAGTGAGTGAATTATTATTGTTGTAACACAAACTGTACCAGTAAGATTTGTAAATTGGAATAATTTATAGGGTATGAGTCGTCTTTAATTTATAAAGAAATGACAGATTTTATCGAGTAACATTTAAGAAACAGAATTCAAAGAATATATCGAACTCGATCCGACATAATTAGTGAACAAAATAGAACATAAATATAGATCAATGGCTTTATTATTGACCATTTGGAGTATTTACAAAATAAAGAACATAAAAATGAGTTGAAATAAGTAGATTGTAGAAATTACTTAAGAGGTATCCTTGATTTGTGCTCCTCTTCTTGTTTTATAGATCCAAAACCTAGTTTAAAGTCACCATTTACTACACTTAATTTGTAATAATTGCATTTAATTTATTGGATTTAGCCGTCTATAATCAAAACATTGATTTATTTGTGTTTCAATAATTGATGTAAGTTTACAGATCTCTCTCTAGATGTTGCACCCATACACGAGTTCCACATTAAATTATTTGATTATCACTGAGAAAAAAAAATCAATAATCATTATGTATGCATGGATTCTAGTTGAATCGTCTAATGTATAATTTCAAGCTACCAATAATGTACTGATTTTGACCCCATCACTGGTCCCCTCATAGTCAAGGAAGATTGGGACCTCTTATGTATAATTTCTATCAACGGCCCTCTAAATTTAATTCGGTGGATCACATTTTGTCTCTCTATTTACATAAACCGGCCTAATAATGCTTTTTTTTTTTTCCATTCTGAAGATACTTTTATCATTATATTTAAACACCCATCAGCCACATTCAAGCTGCATTGATAAATCTGCTGAGTTGTTGCTTATGCCAAGCTGGGTCGTACAGACTTGATCAAGCTAAAATAAATATATATACACACACATATATATAATATATAGAGAGAGAGAGATCTGTAACCTTGATTGTTTGTGACGGAGGAGTTTACAGTGAGGGTGAGGGAGATATAGACGGGAGTGAGTGAATCATTATATTACTGAAAAGAGATCGAAGATATGTGGAAGCGTCAAATTATGCTTTCTAAATACGTAAATTTGTCTTGTAATGAAGCAAAATATCAGTTGAAACCGATGTCCACACAAATTAGTTACAGCTTGGTGATAAGGTTTTATGTCTGAATTCTACTAATACGTAAGTGATAAAGCTACGAAATCAGACCAGTTATATTGAACCAAAGAACGATATTATAGCATGTGATTAGGTTTATGTTTTTTTTTTGGCCTTATGGACTTTAGTAAAAAAAAAACTGAAGGTGTATAAATGCATATATTAAATAGTATTTCGACTTGGAAACCGAAACAATGTCCGGGTTTCACGTTCACAACGAATTTTGATCCAACAAGCTCAGAGTTAATTTGTCCAAGCTTCTACACGTACGTTGTTTACCAATTGAGTGACAAAATAATTACAAAAAAAAGTTTATGTCTATAAGAGGCTAGGCTTCACAGTGGGCGGATGTATGGGAAATGTCATTGGTTAACTCTTTACACTTTTTGTTGTTCCTCTAAATTACATTTTTTTTTCTCAACTGAGTAATATTAGAAACGAGCTGGGTAAACCCTGAAGATATACAGACCCGCGTAGCTGAATGAAAATCATGCTGGACTTCCCAAAAAAATACAATCACAGCTCGACATAAGCTCTTGAATTAGCTAAACAAATCAGTCAACTCTAAGACACTAACCCAATAGAGGACAAAACTTTCTCACTATGAAAAAGGTCAGAAAGCCACAAAGACAGACCTGTTGCAATATAGGACTATTAAAATCCGCATCTAACCACACTTTCAGCGATAAGAAAAACTCATCTATTCGTAGGTCTGATTTCTATTTCAAACCGCCACTTTGCAAAAGGCTTCAAAAGTGCCATAATTGGCGAAACCAACCATTTGAAAGAGGGCCACGCCTTTGACCTCAAGATGGTATTGATAAAATCTCCTGCTTCAGTTGCTATAATCACACGGTTCATCTTGCGAAAACTTAAGCACTCGATGGACCACTTTAAACACAGAAAAGAGGCATCCTTCTTACTCTTAACATTGATGATCTGTGTACGACTGTGAAGCAGTACATAGCCCCCACTATCTCACAGGATCCACGCTCCACCAGAAGAGTTATTTTCTCTGGACCAAGAAGTTCCGACATTGCATTTCAGCCACGCTGCTGGTGGCGCTTTCCAGATTTTCTTCTTTCCAACCTGAGTAGCTGTACTCCTTACTGCAATACCCTGTTCCAACACCAGGGCTTGAAACCAAAGTTGTGCCTCATCTCTTATTTTCTCAAGAGTCTAAATTCCCCAAAAAAAATCACCTTCAAAGAACAACTTGTTCCTATTTTTCCACAAGAACCATAACACCCACAGAAATATCCTTCTTATTTCAATGGGGATTCTAATATTCTTTCCCATTAGCAGTAAAAATTGGATGTTCACATATACTGAATCAGGGTGAAAACCATCTTGGGGGGAAGGAAAATCGGAGAGGGCCCATACCTGACGGGCAATGTGGCAGGTGAAGAAATGTGATTTGCTGTTTCAGAGGCTTCTCCGCATGCTTGGCAAATCTCATCGATTTTCATACCCCTCTTAGCTATGTTGTTAGCCACCGGCACTGCATCACTAATAATCCTCCACAGAAAAGACTTGATCTTTGGGGCAGACTGCAGAAGCCAGATATGATCCTTCAAGGGGTTTAAAGAAGGAAGCTGAGCCGCCTCTTTTAAAATTTCTGAGGGGTTTAGAGATGTTGCTAACTAATAAGCCGATTTTATAGTGAAATCCCCTGACTTGTTGAATTTCCATATCCAAAAATCATCATGGTCTACTG